TACACTGTTAGTTAATTTAAGAAAAGTTCAAACTTAGCTCTTATAATTCCTTGTCTGGACAAGGTGCAATGCAGTTTATTATTCACGTGAGTAGTAACTGTCCAAACTTCATTCTTGAACCCAAATCTATTAAAAGGGTGGAAATGCGATTAAATGAGCTAGGATACAAGTATTTAGAGTATATGTTAGCCTTATATATTTTATTTTAGCTTACTTATTATGTCTTCCTTAATAAAAGAGTAAAGGGAAATTTTATTTTGATCCAGTTATCTTATCTCTACACCCAACTAACAAGTTTTATCTACCAAACTTCAAATTTACCCTTAAATAAATAAGAATAAGAAAATAAACATCGGTATTTTTATCTCTACACCCCATAACTCCAAAACTGGCACACCAGTGCACTCCTCCATTATTTCCAACAAAACTCACCCAAATAACAGCAAAATATTCTCTCAAGTTCATCAATGAATCAGCTTGCTAGAAACCCTTATCAGCCTTCATTTATAATTTCAGCGTAGGTTTTTGGCTAATATGTTTGCTTGTTTGAACCATTATCTGGGAGTTGGCTACTTGCATAAATTATTAAAACTAACAAGTCAGCTTGCTAGAAACCCTTGTTGCTATCTCTTCTAAATAGACACTGACATGGAAGCTTTTTTCTCATATTGCAGGAATTTGTTTCATATCTAACGAATTGGTAAGAAGTTTTCTCCGTTGAAATTATAAATAAGGGCCGCTAAGGGTTTCATGCAACACGGGTTTCTAGCAAGCTTACTTGTTGATGAACTCAGGAGCATATTTTGTTGTCATTTGGGTGTGTTTTACGGGAAATAATGGAGGAGTGCATATGTGTGCCATCTTTTTTAGTTATTGGGTGTAGAGATAAAAACACCAATGTTTGTTTTCTTTTATTTTCTTATTTTTATTTATTTAAGGGCAAACTTGAAAGTTTAGTAGAGAAAATTTTTAGTTGGGTGTAGAGATAGGATAGCTCGGTCCAAATAAAATTTCTCAAGAGTAAATTGTAGCAATTGTCTCTCAATTTTAACTTAAATGAAGCAATGTTCCCTCAACTAAAAATGCATTATCATTGGTCCCTCAACTCATCAAAACGTGCAGTTATGATCCTTTTTGTCGAGCTTGGCTAGCATGAGCTGGTGTTCGGCACAGGTTGCCATAAGGTCATTCGGCCTATAGTAAAGTAAGGTCATTCAAATTGTAGACCCAATTTGTCAAACCATGCATGCTAGAGACAATGATGGAAATAAAAAAGAATGCTAACATTAAGACTTTTGACCTTTTAGTCACAAGAATTGTAGCATTGACCATGGGGTCATTCGGCCTATAAAACATTGGACCATGGGTTGTTCTTTGGTCAAAATGAGATATGACCGTGTTCCCTCAGCAAGTTACTAAGAATCAAGGGCATAATGGCAAGTTCCTTTCGGCCCAATAAGTAAACGGTCGAAGCACTTGTTAGGTTTCTGGCGGAAAAGTCTCTACCTGAGTCATTCGACCTGCAATAGATATATATGCTTACATGAAAAAGTGTTTGTGTAATGTGTGCTACCATGATTGCTGCGTTGCTGACTTTGATGGATAACAGGCCGAGCTGCCAGGAGTGGTTTGTCTCCACCCCTAATTTTTCTTGACTCTCCAAATTTTTCTCGACCTCAGTAGTCAAGAGCTGGGACAGATTTTTATTGGCTACGAATAATTAATTTCCTTAACCATTCGGCTTACGAGTAGAAGTTCAAGGAAACTAAGGGGCAATGTTTAGACCCAAATTTAAACCCTCAGCCCGTGCAATCAAGATCGTTGAGTAAACATAGCTCCTAACCGTCAGATAGAAGAATGAAGATAATTTTGTTATTGTTAAAGGATAATATTATGGTTTTTATCATAATAATTATCTTTTAATATGAATTATTTGCATCTTCTTAAACCTAGATAAATAGGATGCGAATTATATCCCAAGCAAGCAATACAGTTTGAATTGATTTGGGATGTCTGACGGCACTTGGAAGCTAAAAATGAATTTGAAATTCATTTGATCAGGATGTGTCACATCCCGCCTGGGCCCCCACCATATATCGAGCTCGACTCCACCGTAACACAATATTGTCCGTTTTGGGCCTCGACCACGCCATCACGATTTTGTTTATGGGAATTCACACGAGAACTTCCTAGTAGGGTCACCCATCATGGGAATGCTCTCGTCCAAACTCACTTAACTTCGAAGTTCCGATGGAATTCGAAGCCAGTGAACTCCCAAAAGGCCTCATGCTAGGTAAAGATAAGAATATACATATAAGGTTTAGAAGATCCACTCCCCTGTGGGATGTTACAATCCATCCCCTCAGGGGCCCGACGTCTTCGTCGGCACACTTTCGTCCAGGGACTGGCTCTGATACCAAATTGTCACATCTCGACTCGGGCCCCCACCACATCCTAAGCTCGACTCCACCGTAGCACGATATTGTTCGCTTTAGGCCCCGACCCGCCCTCACGGTTTTGCTTCTGGGAACTCATACGAGAACTTCTTAGTGGGTCACCCATCATGGAAATGCTCTCGCCCAAACTCACTTAACTTCGGAGTTCCGATGGAACCCGAAGCCAATGAACTCCCAAAAGGCCTCGTGGTAGATAGAGATGTGAATATACATATAAGGCTTAAAGGATCCATTCCCCTGGGCGATGTGGGATGTTACAGGATGCATGCATAAATGGGTTTAAAGGTGATGGAATTATGATGATGTGATAAGCATAGGATTTGATGGTCTTGGATAATGATGAGATAAGAAACCTAGGTAGATTGTGCCTTTTTGCATGGTGATGGAAGTTATCATATGAGTTTAAAGGCTTTTGATGAAGGTTTTTGATGAGATAAGAAGCCTAGGTGGGCTACGTTTCTGATGTGATGTGATAAAGCCTAGATAGGCTTTATTTTGTTTGAAAAGTCATGAAATCTGAAAGATATGCCTTGGCATTTGACACAGATCAATTTCAGTTCCACGAGTTAAAGTTGCAATTGGACTCTACAAAGTTATCAGGCCGTGTCAAGCAAGAGACAACCACTATAAATACAGAGTTGTATGTAACATTGAAGTCTCTCTCCAATTCAACACACAAACTGTCCCTGCTCAAACTTTCGCTATACGCGAAACCTCTCAACAACCTTGAGATTTTTTTTTTTCTCGTCGACATATCTTCAGTTTGGATAAACAGCACTAGAGCCATAGAATTAGCCGATCAAGGAGCACATTCAGTTTGGATAAAGAACATTGCTTCTCGGTCGACTGATTACCTATCCAAGTCTCGGTTAACAAGGATTTTCGAGTCCTTGTTGTTAAAGGTCATCTCATCAGCCTTATCGGCGAAGTGAGGTGTTACTAGGTTACTACATTTGGCACATTGAAAGCCGAATTTGATATTAAACTTCGCAGAACTAGCAACCTTGTCTTCAGGCTCTAGAACCCGAAGGCCGAGACGTGTTCCTTCCTCGGCTGCAGTCGCAAGATCAAGAAGTCAGCAACGCGTCCAACGCCACATCAACATATTTTACTCCTCGGTTGAACTCGGCCGATGAGTTGGCATGCCCTGCATAGAATCGAAGGATGTAGTTATCTTATTAATTACTTGACCTGCGCACCATGTAGGCTTGGTAGTTTTTAAGGTCAACAAGTATATTGCCCCATATTGGCAAATACAATGCTTTTATACAAGAGCTCTTATGACTCTTCACGTATTGTCCCCTCAAATTGTCCAAAAGAAATAAAAAAAGGGAATACCATGACAATTTTAGTATGTCATCACATCCACAAAGGAACGGTCGTTTATAAAATTAAGGTATATAGCAATTGACCCATGACATAACGGTAACAATTTAAACTATAGCACATCTCTAACAAATATTGATATTTGTCATTTGTTAATGATATAAAAGGTACATTCTACTCGTTTCATAAATAAAATCAATACTATTGCGTATTGCAAGTTTACAACATAATAAAAGTTTAATTTAGACTTCTTATTTCCGAACAACACACATTATATTATATATATATGTGTGTGTATGTATGTGTGAATATATATATATATCTCTTTACTAAAACCCAAACAAAAGTTTCCTGTTCACCAACGATGAACTCATCTATACTAAAACCCAAACAAAATTTCCTGTTCACCAGCAGTGAACTCCCTAAAATGCCCTCCCATCCACTTGTTGTTGCCCTTTTTTTCCATCTGTGCTATAGGAAACAGACATTTTTGCCCTTCTAGGTTGTGCTTTTGCAACCTATGATTTGGGTTTTTATCTTCGTTTGCATTAGGTTATTTTGTGTTGTTGTTCTCATCCATTTTCTGCATGCCCTAACCTTCACTCTCATCTTTCCATCTTTCTTATCCTTTTCTTCTGAATCATTTGTATGAAATGAAATCAATGAGCCCATTCTTTTGCAAACCAAATGAGACGAAGAAGGGTAAGATCATTTCCATATTGACCAAAGCAACATATCAAGCTTAAAATACAAACGTCTTTGCGCTAATTTACCATTTTCGTTCCAGACTCTTTCCTTGACTTATTCAACAACGTAATAGTCAATTCTATTACTTGTATCGCACGGTACGTTTTCATTTATCAAATTAAAAAAGAAACCAATTCCAACCATTTGGTTTCTTTCGCAGTCTTTCACAACATGTCGACAACGAGCACCCACCAGCCAACGCAGGCTCAGCCATATTGCCCATAACCGGACCACACCACCACGACGCTCCAAAAAAAAAAAAAAAAAAAAAAAAAAACCCTACTATTTCTATTCAGTATTGGAGGTTTCCGCGCCTCAACTCCTTGGTTTTGAAACGCTGGCAGCCACCTCTCCCTCCACTTCTTCCCGCCTCTCTCTCCTCCCTCCCCCAAACCTTAAAACCCCCACAAAGCCTAACCCTCTCCATCTCTCCCTCTCTCTCTCTCTCTCTCTCTCTCTCTCTCTCTCTACAAACCACCACCAATTCCCCCCCCCCCCCAATTTCTCCCTCCCTTCCTCTCTCTCTCTCTCTCCCCCTCTCCCTCTCCCAGCCATGAACCGCCGATCTAGATCCCTTCACCGCCGGTCCTCCCCCAACCGGTCGCCCGAGCCATTTCTCAAATACCTAAAGCCCGGCGCGCTCGCTCAAATCCGAGACTCCCGAATCAGCAGGGCCAGATCGCACCAGCTCAATTGGCTCTCTCAGGTCCGTGTATCGCCGCCGTTGTCTCCGGTGTCCGACGCAGGTCTTCCCATGGTCAACGCGATGGAGGGATTTCCTTGCTTCTCGGGTCGGATCTTCGGCCCCAGATGCCCCCAGAGGAAGAAGCTCGCGGCCACCAAGTCCGTTATGTTCCTCAGCCCCTCGAGCCCGGTTCACGACTCGCCAGATCCGATAATCGATCTGTTTAGTACGGACATTCTTGCTGCACATTGAATTGGAAATTGTAGAATGTTCTGTTGAACCCTTGTTGTAGATTAGGTTTTTTAATTTGTAGTTTGTGGTAGTACCTTGGTGGAGAATTGCTTAAGATACAGCTGAGATTATTAATAAAATTTACTGAAAAGTTTCGTAACAGAGCAATTTTTGGGTTGATTTATGATTTGGGTATTGAATTGGGATGCGCTTTAACTGTTTGATGTTTTGCATTCATTGGGGGTTGTCATTCAATTGTGATGGGTTCATAATGTTGCTGAAGTTACCCGAATTGCGGTGTTTGGGTGCTTCATTGCTCATCTTATATGCGCTGCAAATTGAGTTATTGTGTGTGAATTATGTGTCCTGTTTTCCGTAGATGGGTTTTCATTTTGGGACAAATCTAAATCGGTAGTAGTGATAAAGAAAGACGGCTTCTTTGGTATGGTTGTATTCCATGAGACGCGCTTGAACTGTTTGATGTTTTTGCACTCATTCAGGGTTTCCATTAAATTGTGATGGGTTCATATTGTAATGTTGTGCTGAAATTACCTGAATTGTGGTATTTGGCCGCGTAATTGGACATCTTATTTGCGCCGTAAATAGAGTTATTGCGTGTGAATTATGGGACTTGTTTTCCTTGGATGGGGTATGGTCTCAAGACAAATCTGACCCGGTAGTGCTGATAAGGAAAGACGGCTTCTTTGCTATGATGGACGGTTACTTACAAGAATCCATGTTTCTACTTGGCGTTGTGGTTTGCATCTTTGGTAGTGGCTCATGTTTTGTTGTCTGTGCAATTGATACAAGTCTTGTAGTGAATAGGCTATGTTCTGCTTTGCTTATTAAGTGTTGCAGGCTTGCAGTTGTAGTTAATTTCTGAATGTATCATTAACTTAGATAGTTTGTCTTCTTTAGATAAAACAATACTTGTATTGACTCATTAAATCTACGAACTTTTTAATAGCGGTCATTCAACTCAAAGATGCAAGAATGTAGTTATTTGGTTTCTGATTTTGGTGCCACAACGGAAATGCTTTAACTGTTTGATGTTCGGAACTCATTATGCGTTTATGGCTTAGTTCTACATTGTAATTGTTGACTTGTTGTGCATCTTGTTCACGCCTTAAGTCGAGTTATTGTAGCATTCCCAATAGGTAGTGCTGAATCTGCTGAGAAAGAAAGAGGGCTTTGTCGTTAACTCTTATACATCGGTGACTTTTTAACTGCTCATTTAAATTAGTTCCGTTTTTTAACTTCTGACATGATAGAATTTCTTGCTTGGTATCGGATGTATGAGTCTTCGGTAGTAGCTCCGTTTTACCAGAGTGTTCTTGTTCATGCAACTGCAAGTAACTGCTGCTATTCTTGCTTATCCTTGTGACAGTGATCAGTTTTGATTCCATGTTCTATCTCAGTATCATTGGTTTGGAACATGCGCACGTAAGTTTGTATCCTTTCAAGGAGTTGTCCGGGATAACTGAACTATTTTTACTATTGAAGAGCAGATCATACATAGGCTGAGAAAATAGGCTGGTTAAACTGCCGGAGCAAGGGCTCCCCATCAATGGATGCATAACACGCTCACTTGTGCGGGGGCAATTGTGCCCCTGCACGAGTGAATTATTTCCCAATATGCCCCTGCATGAGTCAACTATTTCCCAATATTGAATCATTGAAGGAGCATGCTTCATGAGCTGGGCCAAACAGGTAAACAACCTTTGTTCAGACGATAATAGGTTTAGCACCATTAAACGCATTGGAAGTGACTTGAACCAAGGCATTGAGTGAGGAGATGGAGGCCTCCCCGTAAACCCTATCGGATGAGTTTTAATAAAGTAAAACGGTTTCCACACTCATTTCACACTCTACGCACTCATGTTTAATTTTGTTTTTATTTATCATATTCAAATGCTAGAATGCAAATGAAAGAAGTGTATAGAAACCATTTCCATTAACGAAACGCATCATTCTTCCATAAATTTTACAACTTGATAATTTCGTTTCACTCCCAACACTAAAGGGTGTATTCAAATAAGATTTCAAAGAATAATTTTATGAATTTTGAGAGAACATGGATTTTAATGGAGTTCGTGAGACTTCTATAACAAATTTCATTTTTGTAAAAAAGGAAAAATAAGAAGATAATTGAAAAGCGAAAAGACAATGTACTATGTTAATATCCCTTCCGGCACCACTGTGTGAAGCTCTGCGTAACTACCAAGCGATTTAAGAGTTCTTTCTGGAATCGCAGACTCACAAAGCAAAAAAAAAAAAAAAAAAAAAAAAAAAACATCAATGGCCGAACCCAAAGCCAAATACGATCGCCAGCTCAGGTACTCTCTCTCTCTCTCTCTCTCTCGTCTCTCCTATTCCCCGTTTGTCCTCCACCATCGCCCAAATTCTCCAGACGCCACTCTCAACTCGTTCAATCCTTTTCGAAATGGTTTAGCTCGTTCAATCCTTTTCGCTTAAAATCTAATCCTCTGTTTGTTTACACCCATTTGAAATTGCAGAATCTGGGGCGAGCAGGGGCAGGCAGCCCTAGAGAAGGCCAGCATATGCCTACTGAATTGCGGCCCCACCGGCTCCGAAACCTTGAAGAACCTTGTTCTTGGCGGGGTTGGAAGCATCACCGTCATCGATGGATCTAAAGTCGAATTGGGTGACCTCGGAAATAACTTCATGGGTATGTTTAACTTTTGTGTTGGTCAAATGGGTATGTTTTGAATTTGTTGTTTTCACGTGTGATTACTGTTTTTTGAGTGTTTTATGCGCTTTGGTGGTTGGGTTTTTGGTAGTTGATGAATCGAGCGTTGGGAAATCGAAAGCGAAATGCGTTTGCCAGTTTCTTCAGGAGCTGAATGATTCCGTTAAGGCGAAGTTTATCGAAGAGTATCCGGAGGTTTTGATTGAGACCAACCCATCATTCTTTTCTCAGTTTACCTTGGTTGTAGCTACTCAGGTATGGGGCTCTACTAATAGCCAAAGTATGCTTACATATTTTTACATGACAACTTCATTACCAAGTTTTCTCCTTACATTCCTGCATTCTCATTACGATGTTTTTTTATTTTTTATTTTTTTATAGTGAGCATGTGATATCGGTACATTCGTAAATAGAATTTGATTATGTACATGCCTTATACTCAGCATTTCTTTGTTTCCTTGTTTGTTATAAAACTTGCCTAGTTTAGTTTTATGCTTAATTTTAGTGGCTATTTGGATGGTGGATGTTAAGTTTACCTGACTTTGTGAAGTTACAAGTATTTGTCCTCGGTATGCAATAGCTTTGACGGACTGTATTGAGAATCTAGGTCATTAGATTCTGTTGCGATTACTTGTATTTTTCGATTTCTATTGTCACTCTTGTTAATTGTAATATCCCTGATTTTCTAATTTTAACTATTAGCTAGGGGAACGTTCAATGGTAAAGCTTGATAGAATCTGCAGGGAGGCAAATGTGATTCTGATCTTTGCTCGCTCTTATGGCCTCACTGGGCTTGTCCGTATCAGTTTGAAGGTAATGCAGTTTTGAGTTTTTGATGAAATTGTTGTCTCTGTCTTGGTATTAATATTCCTGAATTTAAGCATTTGAATTTTTATCTCCAATTGGTGAGAGTAATGGAAATTGTGAGGGATGAGATATGATGTTACTCTACAGCCGTGGCCTAGTTTGAAGATTGATAGTGTACTGATGATAGGTCTTCGTCTTTCTCTGATTGGCTACATCATAAGAAAACAGAACGTGCTTCAAATTGCTTATATGGATATGGTTTGTTATCCAAACTTACAATTATCTAGATGGAAAGGTTCAAAAATGGATCTCACAGAGCTATCGTTATAATATTTTTCTTTGAATCTGAATAGGTTCTCCATTTTCTCTATGTTTTTTTTGGGCAGGAACATACTGTGATCGAGTCAAAGCCTGAACATTTTCTGGATGACCTTCGTTTAAATAATCCATGGCCTGAGCTGAAAAGGTATGAAATTCTGCTTTTCGTGTTTTCATCTGAGACATTTTCAGAGTTACTTATTTGGATTTCTGACAACTAAGTATTTGCATGCGGATTTTATTTTATGCTAATTGCCCTTCGCCACTAATGACTGGTATTCTGATTTCTTAACCTATATGTGTGTGTTGCCTAATGAATCAATGGTTCAATAATATACACCGTGTGTTTGGTTTTCAAGATTCTGAATGGATTCTATCATCTATTGTAGGTATGCAGAAAACATTGATTTAGATGTGTCGGATCCTGTTGCTCACAAACACATGCCATATGTCCTCATTCTTGTCAAGATGGCAGAGGAGTGGGCCAAAAATCATGATGGTAAACTTCCATCAACTAGGGAAGAGAGAAAAGAGTTCAAGGTTTACCTGCTTGATTTATACATTTTATGTTTGTTTTTCTTCTTTCAATTGCTTTCTACTAAATATGTTTATTTATTTCCCATTTATCTTGGATTACTTAGGAGCTTATTAAAGCTAGGATGACTGCACTAGATGAAGATAACTATAAAGAAGCCGTTGAGGCCTCCTTCAAAGTCTTTGCTCCACGAGGAATTAGTAAGTGTATCATTTTTAAGTTTGGTTGTAGTTTCCCAGTATATTATTTCAGAAGATGATGTTGTCTTGTTAAATTTCCAAGAACGGCAAAATAATCATCACCTATGTTTTGCAGTCTGACTGATTATTCATGTTAATGAAATATTTTAATATTTTTGGTAATCCTGAGCTGCAAGTTGAGCTTGGTTAGAGACTTAGAGTACTTGCATGGATGACAGTGTGGCAGGCACGCTTGGTGATTATTATATCCTACTCTCACTCCAATGGAGTTGGGGTTGAATTGGCATTGTTGCTTGCATTGTTTCGGACGAACAGAGTGTATCCATCTTTCCCCTGTCATTCACATAATATAATTAATCTGGAAAGCAAAGATAAATGGCATCATCCATAGCTGATGGAAGACTTATACATCTTTGTTGGGTGTTGCCGTATACTTATTTGGAGGTTATGATCATACAGCATTTCAGCCTTGATTATTGGTGGTTGAATATCAGTCTGACTTTACAAGTGGTTAATTCTGTTTTTCTTCTCATTTTATCTCTTAGGTTCAGACTTGCAACGGGTAATTGGAGATAGCTGTGTGGAAGTTGATTCCAGTTCATCTGATTTTTGGGTGATGGTGGCAGCGTTGAAGGTTTGTTTGTCTGTTTGTTTGTTTTTTCCATGAGAACTGGATATAGCATGCTTAATGTTTTTTGTGTTAAACTGAGGTGCTCAGAATAAAGTGATTATCACCATATTGCACATCATTTTTATGGTTTCAAATAGATTCCTCTTTTCCTGATTTGGCTTCCAGGCCCTCTGTTTTTCTCTGGAAAACAACCGATCGGCCTATAAGTTTCAAGACTGAAACTCTGATTTTCAAAATTGTTTAGTGGTAATTAGCGTAATGTTTAGGCAGTTGACCACCATTCATGCATATTTTGAACACATAGCTTTGAGCCCCATTCCTACGTGTTTATGCTAGATTTGGGGGATTTTATGTGAAATACCCAACATGATCAAAGAGAATATGTGTTCAGAGTTCTCATGCTGAGTTTGTCTTCCTTGAATTTAGAGATTTCAGCCACTTACAATGGATAAGTAAGTAGCTGACCAATATTTTTGATTGACAAAATCACATGCTTATAATTAGCTTGTCCAATAGATCCATACCATTGTCAATTTCTTGACTAGCATAATCAGAAATCTTCACTTTGCAGGAGTTCATAGAAAATGAAGGTGGTGGCGAGGCACCTCTTGAAGGATCAATACCAGATATGACATCTTCGACAGAGTTAGTGACCGATCTTATAATCTAGCCTTTCTTCTTTCTCTCTGTTTTTGTGTTTTAAAAAAAATAATTGTTGATGCAAGAGTTCTTTGTACTCTCTTGTAGGCACTATATATCTTTGCAGAAACTCTACCAAGCCAAGGCGGAGGCTGATTATCTTGTTATTGAGCAAGGGGTTAGGACTATTCTGAAAAAAATTGGTAGGGATCCAAACAGCATCTCAAAGACAACAATAAAAAGTTTCTGCAAGAATGCAAGAAAACTCAAAGTAAGTGTGTCGAGTTCCACTTTATTGTGTGACTGACATATATTGCTTCACCAGTCCTGCTAGTATTCTTTTAATTGTAAATGTGGATCCAAACATGTTCATAAGATTCTAATTTCACCTACCTTATTTTTAATAAGTTTTCACCATTTTATAACTTCTTTTTGTGGTAAGGAATCCAATTGATTCTGTACTCCATAGACTTACTCTTTATAATTTATTTGATTGCTACTATTTTTAGGATATTTAGTAGTTATCTAGTGATGAAATAGAGTCTTGTGATGACTTTTCCTCATTTGTGGATACAATTTGGACCGTAAGGTTTGCAAAACAGTTGGAGCTTAGATCTGAGGCATCTTTCCTGCAGAATTTTAGCTAGGAATGCAGTGTGCATATTAGGGATTGATGTCGTAGTCTTTCAGAAACATTTTACTTACGCTTCTTGATGTTTGCCTAGCGGACTTCAGTTGAACACTAATCTTTGCTTTGTAGGTTTGCAGGTATCGCCAAGTCGAAGATGAGTTCAATTCTCCAACCGCACTAGAGTTGCAGAAGCTTCTAACAGATGAGGATCACAGGTACATTATGATTTTGTTACGTTGGATTTTTGTTATCTTGTTTGTAGAATTATTATTTCTTTTGTGGGATGATATATTCTTGAAGATCTGAGCAATAAAGATTCCAGAATCCTTTTACATATTGTATAGTACCACTCTTATCTATTTAAAACGTTTCTACTTGTCAGAGTAGAAGGGGAATTGTCATGTGTTTTCTTGATAGATTTGTTTTATTTTATTTATTTAAAGGATTAGATAATGTTGTTTTTCTCCCACCAAATATATTTTCTTAAATTTTACTTGAGGCAAACTAATGGAAGTTTTGGCGGAATTCAACCCCTTCCTGAAAAAATAGAGCAAATGAACTAAAGTATTTATCCCCCAACCCAAAATAAGAAAGGAATATACATTACATATAACTGTGGATTTGTCTTGCTCAAAGTTCACTATTTCATTTGATTTCCATGACAGTGTAGCTGCTGGATTTTATGTTTTGCTTAGAGCTGTCGACCGGTTTGCCGCCAATTACAACAGTTTTCCTGGGCAATTTGATGGGTAACACCTAATACTGTTTATGACTATATTACGGTACAAATTTATAATATTGTACTGATTATGCATGTTCCTTTTTCCCATAGTTTAATGGATGAGGACATATCTCGATTGAAGACTATAGCGGTTGGCCTGCTTAGTGATGTGGGCTGCAATAGCGTTACATTAAACGAGGACCTAATCAATGAGATGTGTCGATTTGGTGCTGCCGAGCTCCATGCAGTTGCTGCTTTCATTGGAGGAATTGCATCTCAGGAAGTGATTAAGGTTTGTGTTTCTAGCTCTGCTTTGTATGTAGAGATTAGTGATATCATATAGCTACTTAAAGTGACATTTACTGTTCTGACACTGTTACAGCTTATAACAAGACAGTTTGTGCCCCTTTCCGGAACTTTTGTCTTCAACGGCATTGATCATAAGTCTCAATTGTTGTCTCTGTAGCGGCTCTAAAGCCTGAAATGATATAAAATGATGGTATGTTTTCACGTCTGGTAAATATCCGGTATGTAGCACTTGCAACTTCTGTTACATTGAGCTATACTAAGTTTTGGTTTTCATTTGCAGATAACCTTTTACGATTGGAGTGGGAGAAAGTTTGAGGTCACAGCGATCTTACGTGCTATTGATCGGAGGCTTTGTTTCTGCAGTTGAGATTGGGCAGTTTGCAGTGAAACATGATTTTTGTAGTTTTGTTTCTCATTCCATTATCCTGGATATGTCAGTCTGGCAAAGAGAGAAGATATAAGAGAGTGAGAGATGGAGAGAGTGATACAATATATATAACATTTGACTTCCAATTTGTTATGAAATGGATTTCTTATTAAGTATACATGCCCTTGTACAGCGTTAACCACTTGTTTGGGCTCACTTACATTTTTTAGGTAATCATCAAAAGATTAATGTTGCAAAAATTCACTGAAATCGAAAGTCGTTTAAGTTTTATGTGGCTTATCAATTTGCATGGATAATTATTTCTCTATACTTATCAAGTAAATACAATAAAAAATATATATATTTTAAATCTGTTTATTTATACATTGTATTTGTGAAAGCGCAAGCTTTTTAGTTGGCTGATTTTTTAGATCGTACATGATATAGATTTTAGGTGTGTCCTAGTTTCTAGGTCCAAGTATTGAAGACGTGCACTTCATACCTTGCATATGATTCCATCATATCCTATCATTCATCTGTGTGACAAAGCTGTGTGCGATCTCTTTGCTCGTGAGGAGGACCAGCAAAGTGCGTTGTGTTCATCGAAAACAAAGCAAAGGAAAGATAGTGTGCTACAAGAACAAAAGTACAGGAGAGAACTTCGAGTGTAGTAAGTATTTGTCTTTCTGTGTCTTGTCAAAGAGTGTATGTGTTGTTGATTTAAGGGTCGCGATAATTTGATCAACGAATGGCGCGAGGTTTTAGCTCTCGGCAATGGAAAAATCGGAACGTGTAGTGATGTTTGTTGATTTTTCTCAAGAATGATGAAAAATGCAGAGTTTTCTGAATCTTTTAAGTGTTTGGGAATTTGGGGTTTGAGAGCTTTAAAGCTTCGGCGTCTGAGTATGAATGATTTTCTGGACTATATTCCTTGTCTTGGTCTTGGAGCCTTCCTATTTATAGAGTCTCCAAGCTTTGCCTACAAAAAAACCAAGACTTGATTTGTATCTTGGTTCGTAATTTGACTCCACTAATTAATTCAAATAAATTAATTTGGCTGATATAAATTAAAACTAATTGAAAAATTATTCATTCTTCTTTTTTTTTTTCCTGTGAAATGTCATCATATGTCCCTCTTGATGACTTGTCTGATTTTGATGAGTCATGTGTCCTGTGTACAATTTGCGAGATACATGGTGCATACCACATAAACCCTTATATGTCGAAACTTTAACGTGTTGGTGAACATTTACTTCACCAAAATTTTGATGTCTACACCTTATTTCCTAGTGAATTCTTTAACTGACTGTGTACCAATGAATTTTCTCTATTATGTGTAGGATTTTACCACGTAAAAGAAATAGTGTATCATTTGTTCTTTTTATCAGCATATTTCTTTTTTATTCTTCATGGTACCTCATCTGATATTTTAATTGAGGTTGTTTATCTTTTGGGTTTGGATTCTAACATCTACCCGCGTTTTCAATTTATAATTACTAATTATGTATAATCAGGCATTGTATATGCGCTTGCACCCGACCCAAGAACAAATACAAATTGAAAAATATTCTGTGTGCCTGCACATGGATTAGGTTTAAAATTGATCGAAATAATTTACAGTTAGGAGAAGGAAACAAATTAAAGTTCAAACTCTTGACATCCTATCTAGCATGGTGAATTAGTGACATGAGAGTATCTCTCTCAACAAGGATAGGAAAGGAGATTACTTGAAGACCAAGAAACTCAAAACTATAAATAGAACTCTCAAAAGACAACACAAACTCATGGAAAACTTGAACTCTAAGCTATCTTGACCTTCAACTTTTAGCCAAACCCAACCAAAACTCACAACCAAGCCAAACCGATCAATCACACAACCAACAATGGTGTTGGCGGAATTAGGAGGGCGCATAACCCGTGCCCTCCAGCAGATGATCAAGGCGACGGTGGTCGACGAGAAGGTCCTGAACGACTGCCTCAACGAAATCAGCCGCGCTCTGCTCCAATCCGACGTCCAATTCAACCTTGTTCGCGACATGCAGATCAACATTAAAAAGACTGTCAATCTGTCCGATCTCGCTGCCGGTCACAACAAACGCAAGATCATTCAGCAAGCAGTGTTCGATCAACTCTGCCAAATGCCGCAAGATCCAGCAGGGAAACACGATCAGCTTGTACCCAAAAAGGGGAAGAAACCGAGTCAAGTTGTCATGTTTGTTGGTTTACAAGGGTCTGGAAAACCACAACGTGTACAAAATACGCGTATTATCATAAGAACAAAGGTTGCAAACGCGCCTTAGTGTGTGCGGACACATTCAGAGCTGGCGCTTTCGATCAGCTGAAGCAAAACGCTGCCAAGGCTAAGGTACCGTTTTATGGAAGTTACACAGAGGCGGACCCTGTAAAGATCGCTGTTGAAGGTGTGGAAAGGTTAAAAAACGATCAGAACAATAATTTTGATCTCGTAATTGTGGATACTAGTGGGAGGCACAAGCAAGAAGCTGCTCTTTTTGAAGAGATGCGTCAACTTTCCGAAGCAATTTGTCCGGAACTTGTTGTGTTTGTATGGATGCGAGTATTGGTCAGTCTGCTTTTCATCAAGCGCAAGCGTTTAAGCAAAGCGTTGCGGTTGGAGCTGTCATTGTTACAAAAATGGATGGACACGCAAAGGGTGGCGGCGCTCTTAGCGCTGTTGCAGCAACAAAGAGTCCTGTCATATTTATTGGAACGGGAGAGCATATGGATCAGTTGGAAGCCTTCGATGTGAAACCCTTTGTCCGGCGTCTGTTAGGCATGGGGGACTTGTCTGGACTTGTGAACAAGATTAGCGAAGCTGTTCCAATGGATCAATGCGCAGAGATAACAGAAAAGATTTTACAGGGCGGATTTACAATAAGGACTATGCAAGTGTGGTTTCAGACCATGCTAAACGTCGGCACACCTAGCCAGCTCGCTTCGATGCTGCCCGCAGAATGTACGAGCCGGTTATTTCCTGCAGGAATTAGTGACGATCAGGAAAGTCAGAAACAGATGAAGCGGTTCTTGGTCATGATGGATTCGATGACAGCTCAAGAGTTGGATAGCCCGAACCTCAAGATAAGCGAGTTGCAGATAAAACGGATAGCACAAGGTTCTGGTCATCAAGTTAGACAAGTAGAAGAGCTGATTGAAGTGTGCAAAGCTGCTAGCAAGAATTTTAGCAAGAGGAAAGCGCTGCTTCGGAGTTTGAACGGCGGAGACATGTGTGCGTTAACCCGGAATATGAGTAGTAATCCGCAGCTGCTCAACCAGATTGGGGGCATGGGTGGTTTGAGAAGCTTGATGAATCTGGGGAGGCTGTAACTAGTATTGTTTTGTTAAAAAATGAAGTGGATTTTTGTGGTGTTGTGGCTTTTGATTAATTAGACTAATAACTAATTATCTTTTGTGCCTTTCTCCATGTTTATTTGGATGTTGTTTCATTTAAGTTTACATATTCCCACTGATTAATAAGTTACAAGCCACTTATTAGTCCTACGGTCTATTGGTATTGATCATAAACATTCAGCAGATGAAGCCTTCTTGACAGGATTGTAGACGCTAAATTTGCCGAAGTCCCTCCTAGCACTGGAAAAAACAGTGCCCGTTATCAACCCCTTGCACAAAGGAACAAAATTTCAGCAGCTAAACGTAATTATAAAATAAATCGCGTCAAGCATAGACAAAAAGCGGAGGGAGAGATGACGATGACGATGTGATGGTGCCACGACATGTATCCAAAGCAGCATTAACTTCCATATGTGATATAATTAGCACTACAAGAAATGTGCCTGGGCGTTATATCCCAGCCGGCAGGTTAAAAAAAAACGAGGATGAACAGATTCAATGATCACTTGTCTCCACCTTTGGTAAATTGAGAAATACCATCTTCGCCATATTCCTTTAGCAGATGATCCACAACTTGCTTGCCAAAGTGACATTTCTGATCTATGTTTACGTTCGGAAGTTGCCACATCTGCGGCATGACCAAATGTAACTGATCCATTCGGTGTATCTCTACTCCCCCATCACCACCACCACCACCATCATCACCAGCATTTACAACAGATACAAAATGACTATCGGCAACTCCACTAATGTCCGAGTTCATGTTCTTCTCAACAACGGCAAAAGCTTCTTCTTCAGTCCCCAAATCACCATCCTTCACCATGAAAGTATCTCCATTTTCTGTTCCGGTAAATGTTTCTGCTTCAGCGGTGCATGAATCACGTAGAGTGTCAGCTTCCGATGCGTTCACAATGGCAGATGTGGACATGGTAACTGTATTTTTCTCCTGCTCCGCATCTGGTTGAATACTCCCCTTAGAATGCATTAAAGAAACTCCTTTTTTCTTCTCAAAACGTCTTCTCTCGTTGGGACTCATGCCAACCAGCAATGCCCCTTCCAAATCTTCCTCAGATATTTGCCTCCCTCCATAATACTTCATTGCTATCTGCAAAGCGAATAAATTAAACGCGCACACACATAAGATCCTAAACTAACAAACTAACAATACTACAAACCACTGATATTAAAATCACACACCAACAGTAGTAAAACATTTGATGTCAAAACCAACTTAAAATCAAGGGTGCTTTAACGAAAAGCTCACGGTAGGTACTTTTTACTTTAACAAAAAATCATATTTTTACGTAAAAAATTAATTATAGTACTATTTACTTTACCCTTTATTTTGTCTTTATCGTTAAAACTAAAAATTTCAAACTATTTTCATTAGTTTTACTTAAAATCAATACAATAAGTCAATACCATTGTGATCAATACAATAATTTGGCGGCACTTTTGAGTAATACTTTTCGCCTTGTGCCTCGGGCTTCATTGCATCCGACAATGGTCCATTGGGCCGTACGGAGGATTAGAAATTTTTGAGAAAATAGCGACAGCATTTCATTTTTCCAAAAGGGAATTACAGGACACGTAACATCAAAGCTTCTTCCAATAAAAGATCAGACATCGGGTCCGGGGTACAGTGACAGAGGCAATTAGAGCCTTCGAATCCTCAATTATATGCCCAATGGTAGACAGATTGATAGAATATTCGTTTAGCGCTATCACAATTTGAAGAGAATTACTTTTTAAAATGAAATTTTAAAAATCCCTTCGAGCTGGCAAAGTGAGACCTACAAGTCTACAATTATTTTTTTTAGTGCAGATAATACGTTGGTAACTACAAGTCCACAACGTTACTGATTTTCAATGCAATGATATATAGTTTCTAACAAGTGTTAAATGAGTTTGAGAGGATCATTTATGGTTGTGCTATTTATAGTGTGGGTACATGACTAAAAAAGATTTTTTAATGTGTCTAGAATATGATCTTTATACCGTGTCATAATACAAGTGTTTACTTATATGAAAAAAAGATTTTTAACTACTTGTATTATGATACTTGTATATATAAACTGTATTCTCGACACACTAAAAATTTTCGTCAGAAAAGGCTCTCATGTTGCAGATCTTACAGTGTTAAGACTCATATATAGACAACTTTCTTACGCAACCTTCTAAGGTTAGCTTGCACACCTCACGACTGCGGCAATTTGCTTTTTCTTTTTAAATTATATATTAAATTGTTTACATACACATATAGATGTCAATTGTATAAAATACACAATTAAGGAAAACAAAGCAAAATATCATCCATGAACTCAAATTTCACTATTTTAAGAGTAGTGCTATTCACACATTTGTTTTACCTCTGACACACTCTTGTTACTTTGTTTTTTTATTTTTTTCAATTCATTTGATTCGACAGTCGAAAATTAAGAGAAGTATGTGAGAGGTAAAAATAAGTGTGAGGATAACATCATCTTATTTTAATAGTGGAAAAGACGCAACAATCTGCTACAGCGGCGCTTTTTTTTTTTTTTTTTGAAAACTCAGCGGGGCGCTTTCAGTGGCCCAACAGCTTATAAATAATTTGCTTCCATTCCATGAAATAACAATAAAAGAAAAAATGGATTGGGAATTAAACAACATGATGATATTGTTTTGGTTTCGTGTGGGAATAAGTGGGTGAAGACTTAAGAGTCCATGAGTTGATTGATGCCATCTCTTGACAATGACATCGAAATGAATGGCAAGCTTGGCCCTATTCTTTGTCCTTCTCTGCTTCTTACAAAATAAAATTTTCTGAGTGAGATATCAACTGAGTCGTCGACCCATGTTATAATTTATGACATAGAGTGTCACATCCCGGCCTGGGGCGCACCATTTTCCGGGCCCGCTCCACCACCGTAGCACGATATTGTCCGTTTTGGGCTTACCATTCCCTCACGGTTTTGTTTTTGGGAACTCACGAGCAACTTCCCAGTGGGTCACCCATCATGGGATTGCTCTAGCCCCTTCTCGCTTAACTTCGGAGTTCCGATGGAACCCGAAGCCAGTGAGCTCCCAAAAGGCCTCGTGCTAGGTAAGGATGAGAATATACATTTAAGGATCACTCCCCTGGGTGATGTGGGATGTCACAATCCACCCCCCTTGGGGGCCCGACGTCCTCGTCGGCACACACGCGACCAGGGTTAGGCTCTGATACCAAATTGTCACATCCCGGCCCGGGGCGCACCACTTCCCGGGCCCGCTCCACCACCGTAGCACGATATTGTCCGCTTTGGGCTTACCATTCCCTCACGGTTTTGTTTTTGGGAACTCACGAGCAACTTCCCAGTCACCCATCATGGGATTGCTCTAGCCCCTTCTCGCTTAACTTCGGAGTTCCGATGGAACCCGAAGCCAGTGAGCTCCCAAAAGGCCTCGTGCTAGGTAAGGATGGGAATATACATTTAAGGATCACTCCCCTGGGTGATGTGGGATGTCACATAGAGAAGTATGTCATTTAGTACTACGATTATGTGTTATATTTTTCACTTATAAATGAGAGGTTTTATATTTGATTTTCGTCAAAAGCAAATTTGAACCACATTATTGCTAGTTCATTGTAAAGTTTAGTACATTACTCCACTATTTAGTATAAATAATTTCATTTATTCAAAATAAAAAAACAAAAAATAGAATTATTCGCCTTGTGCACTCTTGCCTTCCAAATATCACTTGACATTATGTTTCTTTTTTTTCACTTTTTTTACATTATTTTGAAATTCAAATTCTTAAAGATACCAAAACCAGAAGCTAGAGTTCAACAACAAAAAAATAATAATAATAAAAAAAGAAGCTTAAAGTAAACAATGGATGGGAGGGAATAAAGGGAATTGCAGATGGCACGTGTGTATGGGCCTGCAGACATAAAGCAGTGGATGGAAGATGGTGGCCTACTCTAGATGGCGCATAAATGCTGCCATTAAGGAGGCCCAGTTTTATATCTGTGGGACATACCTGCCTTCATGGGCCTGCCGCCTTCATGTGTGTGTGAGAGAGAGAGAGTGTGGCAACTCGGATTATGATTTGTAGTATGGTAGTATGGTTTAACAACTACATTTCAGCTAACATTGTTGTGTTTAATAATGACAGCACAACTACTAAAATTGCACAATCTTTGGTTTTCTTTTTGGGGGTAATATTCTATTATTATTTAATTGTTTTGCAGGAGTGTGGAAACTTCTCGAACTAAAGACCTTAGTGAGTGTAGGCGTATGAATAATTTCTGATTGTTAATGTATATGAACTCTATAATAAAACTCACATGCATTTGTAGTTAGAAGTCAATCATACGTGAGTGAGTGACTAATATAAGCATTTCTATTATGAAAACGGAAGTTCCTTTACAATTCTAAAATTTGTATGGCACTAGCAAATGATTTATTTTTAAATTTTATGGTATGCTAGAAAATGTGAAAAAATCAACAATTAGGGTTAGAGATGATGGAATAAAAGAAATTTGGATTGAATCTTGTGTATTACATCATTTTTTGTGCGCATTTCCAATCAGATCAGGGAGAAATACCATGTTAAACAATGACTCTAAAAACTTACGATAATAGAAAATATATTAAACTTGTATCATTCCTCACACAAACTCAACCAGATCGAAATACCATGTTAGACATATGATAATGACTTTGAAAGCTAGCTGAAGTTGCTAAAAAAAATGTCAACAATCTATATCGAACTTGCACCCTCCATCGTGCGCATACCACATATTACATACAAATAGGCGACCTATATATGATGTATATAAAGCTGACAAATTAAATCAAACTAACAATTTGCATCTTGGAATGACGAACCTTTTCCCCTTATGTATGTAGGATTTTCATATCTTTTGAGGTGGTAAACAAAATCTGATTTCTCTAATTTGTTGTAAAAGTTAAGATTTTGCTTAAAGCCGTAGACAATGGCAATCATACTCTTATCATAAGCAACAAAGTACCTTCACTTGTTCTAAA